ACCCTCCCCCCACTGTGTTGGGACTCTGACCTGGGCTCCCAATTATAAACACTTGCTTACCAAGACGTGATTGTCTCAGGCAGGAACTTCTTCTCTTGATCTCAAATACATCCCCGGAGAGTCCTGCATTGTACAAAGAACTGCCACCTCCCACAGCTGTGCTGGGTCCCTGACCTGTGCCCCGATTATGAGCACCTGTGTAGCAGGTGTGACTATCTCAGGCACACCCTGCAGAGGCCTGCTTTGTTATTCCCCACACCCACACCCACCACATTCCAGAAATACACCCATTTAATGCTCTGGGTTCCCTCCACCTAAGCCCTGGTTTCCTTTTTCCATCAGTGGGTGAAGCAAGACAAGGAAAACCAATCCTTCCCCCACCCAAATGAACACTGCATGCCTAGGCAACCAAATCACCTCCTCCTCCCCCCCAAGAGAGGAAAATACTTGCTCTTGTTGAAGCATAAGGGAGGAGAGGACAGCTCAGAAGCCTGCAGCTCCTGAGCAGGCTCCGGGGGCCCTGAGGGAGGGCTGGAGCTGGTGGATTCCTGAGGATAAACAAGATGACCTCTTGTTTAAGAAGTGGGTGAGGGTGTGGTCAGAGGTGCCCACATGAAGCTGTGGCCCCTGAGGCTAGCCTGGAGGGGGGAGAGCTGATACGGATTGATCACAGGATTAGAGCTGAGGCTCCAAACTCCATCCACCTGAACACACCCCTCCACTGCCACCTTGGAGCACCTGTGAGAAGCAGGAGGAATCCTCTTTGCCTGGTAGTTTTACTCCATCAGTGGTGTGTGATATGAAACATTATTTTCAAATTTATAAAAAATCCTATAGGGAAACTACAGGGTGGAACGCAGAAATCACATGAATTTTTGAGACATAAGGAAGCTTCAAACTAATGTAAGAAAATGCCTGATGGGTTCCTTGGATGCCACCTGTGAGCTTTTTGCTTCTTGGCTTTGGGCCTTCGTTTCCTGTTTGAGTTTGGCTTTCTTTTTCTGTGAAATAAGAATAATGTCCCTTGTGCAGATATGGCAGCGACCACATTTAAATCTTATCTCTGCACCCGCAAAACATACACCAGTCCCCAATCCCTTATCTTCATTTCCATAGCCTACAAATCCCTGGGAGTCACACATTTTTATACTTAATTTTTAAAAAACGGTTTTGATTTTTAAAGGGAGAGAGATAAGAATGGGGGAGGGAGAGATGTGTTGTCTCTCCCTCACTCATAGGACACCAGTCAGAATGGATTAGGTTCCTACACCTCTGACCTCATTTAACCATAATTACAAAATACAGTCACATGGGACCTGGCCAGGATCACTCAGTGGTTGAGCATCCACCCATGAACCAAGAGGGCACAGGTTCACTTCCTGGTCAGGGCACAGGTCCAGGTTGTGGGCTCAATGTCCAGTAGGGGGTGTGCAGGAAGCAGCTAGTAGATGATTCTCTTTCATCGATATTTCTATCTCTCTACCCGTCTCCCTTCCTCTCCTTTTCTCAATAAAAACTTATTCAAAAATTAAATTTAAGAATATAGTCACATGGGGAGTAAGAGCTTCAACCTATAAAGTTTGGGGAACACACAGCACCAGGTGATTCCATCAAAATATCCCAGATTTTAGAAAATTGCCACAGGTGACAGCTGCTCAAGGTGAACATTTAACCACCTTGTTTATACTCAATGCCATTTAAGTTCTACCAGGATTTCTTCTCACCTCATTGTTTTTTCTTTCCATCTAGATGGCAAAGGCTTTACTGATGCCACTGAGAATTCACTGGACACAAGGGACAAAGGGAAACTGCAGCGCCTGCTGAGTGATGAATCCTGGGAGAGATTTGTGGCTCCAGCCAAGCTGTCCAGGTAACCTCCAGGGGATGCCTATGTTGTCCCCCATCTCCCCTGCATCTAGATTCCTCTGGCAGGAACACTCCTCCAGGCAGGGTCCTGAGCTTGGGGTTGAAGAAGGTCCTTCTCAACAGTCCATGAGGAACATTTCCTTCATATTCATTGGAGAGAAGGAATTCAGGTTGAGAAGAGATGAGGCGTGTAGGAGGAAGGTTACATGACCTTGAGAGCCACGCAGTACTTCCTGTGGGACAAGCCAGAAAAATCCTGGCACAGTGTGTGTCCCTGGGGATAGTGGCTAGAGAGCCTGCTCTCCCTAAGAAAGGGATTGTACAGACTCTGCAGGGTCCTGCTGGCCTGGAAGGGGGAGAGGTGGAGTGAAGCTGCACCGTGTTGGGTTGAATCCTGACTGTATCTCTGCCTGGCTCTGGGCTTATATCATCTCTCTCTTCAATGGAATAGCAAGTCCATCTGATAGGACTATGGTGAAGGCCTTGGGGTGAACTGCAGGGTCAAGGGCGAGGAAGCAGTTCCCTGGAGCAGGGTCCTAGCCTGGGGTCTGGGTGGTGCAAGGGTGGTCCAGGTTGGAGGATGGTAGGAAGGCTTGGCAGCGGGGCTGGGACTAGAGTGAGGCAGCTGAGGCACCTGGGCACTGGACTGAGGAGGCCCTGCAGGCAGTTGGGTGGCAGACATTTGTTCCTTCCCTGATTTGATCCCCTCTCTGCTGGGGGTAGAGGGCCCTGGGTGATTATGTCCTCCAACCCTGTCTGTGAGCTGGAGGGCTCCTGACCTCCCTGTGGGACCCTCTTCTATTCTCCATGGAGTAACCCTGACCAGAGGGAAGGCAGTGTGGCTTAGTGACCGCTTCCAGTCAGAATGGGGCTGCCAATGTGGTGTAATCTGAGGGATTCCGGGTAGACGCACACGTTCCCACCAGAGGACAGGGCTTCCTGCACCAGCTCATCCATTTGCAGGTCTCAGCCTTAGTGATTCACAAACATGGTCCTTACAGTGCCTTGTGTCTTAGGAGGTTCCACAAAGTTGGACATGGCCTTGGTGTGCTCCCATGTGATGCTGTCAGCAGCTAAGGTGTGAGTTAGGCTGGTGACACCTGAGACGTGGGGGTGCTGGATGGTTGGCTGGAGAGTCAGGGGAACCAAGGTTGGTAGCAGATCCCTAGCTTCCCTGTCAATTGGGAAAGTGGCTGCACCCAGTGACCTTCAGCCAGGAAGGTCAAAGAGCATCAGGCTTGCAGAGAGCAGGTGCCAGGCACAATCATCATTACTAGTAAGTTACCTCCTAGCTCTGAGGTTTTGGTTGTTCAATTTTCAGTTCCCAGAATTGATGAGACGAAAAGTCTGAGTGCACAGCCCCCAAGACTGCCCTTCCTTTCGACACAAACTGCATATTTTGGGGGTTCCCTGAATCACCTCAGGATCAAACCACAGTCCCAGTTTATTACAGGGAAGGACACAGTTCCCAGTCAGCCAAAGGGAGAGGTGCATGGGGCCGAGGCTGGGCAGGTTTCAACCACGAGGCCTCCATTGTCCTCAGGACGCACCATCGTCCTGTATTCAACAAGCCCATGCGGCCTCACCAGCCAGGGCAG